GAAATACGTCAGTTTTTATATGATCCTATTAAATGGGTTTTGGATCCTTGGAACTGGTTTGGTAAGAGTGATTTATTATTTCATTACAATTATTACAATCGCTATCGGGTATCTTATATATTTTGTAATCTTTTTTTTAGATTTTGGAGCGTATTTAGTTCCAACCATTGCATCTATTATTTGGTTATCTTCCCCCAACAAAGATGATAAACCCTACTTTTTGCTTTCAATTTCATGTCTTTTATTAGATTGTAAATTTTTGTTGTTTTTTAGAGCGTTCGAAGTATTTGGTGTCTATTTTGTAATTATCATTAGTGTTGCGAAGAAAATAGGTTACTTTTTGATTATATTATTCATTATACTTTTGAGTTTTGCTCATGCCTTTTGGATTCTGTTACAACCAAGAAAAGTGTGGAACTTAGAAAATCCACCACCTCCAGACAATGATGATCCCAATAATCCTTGGGAATTAACTGATAAATTTACACAAGTACTAGATAATGGGACCACTCTAAATACTCTAAATTTTACTCAAAAACCTGATAACAATACGAACATGTTTAGCGATTACAGAACTTCACTTTTATCGATGTATTTATACTTGTCGGGTAAAATTTATTCCTTTTATATTTTAAAACTTAACTAAATTCAAAATATTAATTTTTTAATTCTTTTTTTAATAGGCGATTCGAACGCTTTGCCCAACTGGGAATATAGATCTAATCCAGAAAGTACCATACTAATGGTCTTATTCTCTTTTTTAATTGCTGTATATCTTATGAATTTGTTGATTGGATTACTCAGTAATGCTATTGAGGAAGATAATAATAGAGTTTCGTATTTGGTACAAAAAGCGAAGGTATTTATTTACAATAAACACTTAAATATTTTTTTTCAATTTTATATTCCCTTAATAATAAACATTTATCAATACAGATTTTGGCAGAAATCGAATTATTTTACTTATTTCCAAATCAACGACGTTGGAAAACCTGGTTCCCTGACGTAATGTAAGCCTTTTATTGCATCTTTCTCAATTTATAACATGTTTATTTAAAAAATTTAGTTATATTTTATTATTTTAACTAGATATTATCATGCCAATGTTGAAGAGACACGTAGAGAAATTAAAAATCTAATTAAAGAAAAAGAATTTAAAACTGATAAATTTTCAGATTTGAAGAAAAATTTATTAAAGCAGATCAAGATTAGATATGTCATGGAAAAGTTCAAAGATGTTATAAAAACTGAGAAAGAGCTTCAGAAATAATTTTATCTTCGATTTTTTTTCATGTATTTTATGAACATGGATTTATTTAATATTCAATTCATAAAAAGCTTTTCAATAAATTTTACGAAGCTATAAACGATAACATTTGTCACACTTTATATTTATTAGCTTTTATTTACGTGCTCAAATCCGTTAATATTTACCCCGATCATTGTTCGACCCGACCCGATTATTGTTTAACTCGGATTTGACTCATATTTTTAAGGATAATATTTATACCGAAAGAAAATTTTTTTTTTTTTATTTATACTGATAATGAAAAGTGCATTAAATTTGAAAGGTTATTGTTTTGAAGTTTCTTTGGTAGTACAGTAATTCAAATTTGATTTTATTAAATATATTATTGCTTCCAGGAATTAGAACACATACACGCGCGAATTGTATCGGCGTTAAGACCACATCTAAAATTCGTTCAACATGGACATATTAAAATAATTCTATTTTTATTTTGATGATGGTGCTCTAAATAACATCAAATATTTGAATCACCAATATTGCGACGCCATGTATTTTCCCATAACATTTTTTTTTAAAAAAAAAATAATAACCCACAATATATACTATAATCTATTTAAAAATACATTCAACAGTTGACATCTAACTTGACGATGTGTGTGTTTAAATTTTATGTTCAGGTGGAAGAATATTTTCATCAAAAATTTCTTTGGCAAAAAGCTCACTCACAATGCTTTTCGTTTTCAAGAGAAGATATGTTATCGAAATTAGTAAGGTTGATAGATTTGCTCAGCTCATTATTTAAATTGTAGTCGCCGCATATCTTTTAATAACATCAACTGATCGTTCGTGTCACCCGGTTCAAGCAAATTCGTGACCCTAACACGACGGGTCGGGTGTTTAAGAAATTAGGACTCGTGACATAAAATGATAGTCCCGACTCGAATTTTTTCTAAATGACCCTGGGTCGATTCGACCGGCTCTTCTGAATTGCCGAAGTTATCAAAAAATTCTCTTTTCGTAAAAAAGTCTCGAAATAATTTTACAATATGAAACATTCCATTATTCAAACTTTTGATTTTAAATTCAGCAAGATAAAAAAAAATTAAAGTTCAAAATTTATATCTGAATAAATCACTCTTACCAAACCAGTTCCAAGGATCCAAAACCCATTTAATAGGATCATATAAAAACTGACGTATTTC